TTACATGTTTCTCACAAACAAAGCACAGTTCAGCCATCGGCTTATGTTCATTCTTCTCATTTTTCAGAGACTTAAATATACCAGTACCGATCCTCTATCTTTAGCTGTGAAAAACATGGCAAGTCTAAGGACAAAAGCAGAATTAAAATATGTTATCTCAGTCTGGTTTTGATCAATATACATTGTTTCCTTACTATTCTCCTCATAGCATCCAGGGTGGACCATACCAAGGCTCCATCATCCTGAAGGCTGTACTCTTCCCTCAACAGCTGCTGCAAGAACAGAGCAAGCCTGAAGAGATATTTTCCTTCAATACTCTCCCAAGTAATTTCTGCTGCACAAATTTCCTGATTTACAGTTTGTACCTTGGTTTTTATATTGTCCCTAGCTGTCCTCTGCTAGGGATGTCCACATGTTATTTTCCAGCTAATCTGCATGGACTTGCAAACTTTATTAATGAAAACATAGGGCTGATCATCCTTTGGAATTAAAGATCTTACTATGCTCTTACTGGGAGTCATATAAAGACTTTTTTTTTTTTCTTACTAAGTACTCAGTAGCTGTGTTCAATATTTGAGGTGAAAAGCAAAAACTCTTTTTGATTCAGAATAGGTGTTGTAAACAAAGTTTTATAAAATCTGCATCGAAAGAAATAAGTCAGAGAAATTTTTTCCCCTCTAATAGTTTTGCAGCAACTGTGCCCAAATATCAGAGTATAATTAAGCAAGGAAAAAAGTAGCAAAAGTTTAAAGACTCATTTGCAAATAAAGATGAGGAGCTGAGTAAATCAACCTAAATGAAAATCAACCTCATTTTAGACACCCTGAACACTTTCAGCAGAAACCCTTCAGAATGAAAGAGGCAGGTACTGATTATCTCTGCAAATCTCAGAACTTAAACAGATTAAATGGGAAAAAACAGGTGAGGCTGCCTCACAATCCCTATGTAAAAACTTCATTTTCACATGCTACATATGACAAATGAAAGAAACTAATGTTTTCCATACTTGCTTGTTCTCTTTTAGATCAAATTTTAAACTGTTCATCTCTTGCCAGAGTTCATATGACAAAATTAATAGCAGAAAGGAGCAGTGAGAGCCACTGGGAAATTAAAAGAGTGCTAGTGCAAGTAGAGTTTGGAACAAAGATAAATTGGCATTGGTATAGTCCTCAAGCCTAATATTACCAAAGGCCCATCACAAAATTGCTTATGTGACAAAATATTATAGTAACAAAATCGACAGACAGCAAGGTAATCAGAGAATACACCCTGATGTGCAACACTGAACTCATCATCAAATGAAGAATATTTCTACCTTCCTTTAAATTCAAAGCACAGTATATTCCTCCCATGCTTTCCTTTAATGTGAATACTCAGGATACTCAGCATCTTAACCACAAGACTCAAGATATGGGTCCAAGAGCTCCATTCTGTTAAAATCTCTTTAAACTACAAATAAATAAAAAAATAAAAAAAAAAAAAAAAAGTCCTGTTTCAGTGTGTCTCACAAAGGAAAAGCCTCAGAAACCAAAATGGAAAAGAACATCAGTACAAATACCTTAAATTTGTACTGGTGCAAACAGGAAAAAGGCAATACTCTTCAATACCCTGAGCAGACCTTCCTCTTGCATTTCTGCCAAAAGCACTCTGCGCAGAAAAATCCTGACCCAAGCGGTTACATGGCACCTATCAAAGGACATTTTCCCAGACTACTGAAAAAGCCTTTACAGTGAAATTTAAAATCTTCACTCATTTCCCTCCAACTTCAGCCCCAAGGGTCAGGGTGAAGAACAGTACCCAAACCCTTTTGTTTTCTTCTATCATCTATGACAATGCAATATTGCTCATCAGATCACTCCTCACCACTTTCACAAAGGAAAACAAGGATTTTAAGGAAACAGCTTCTACTGGAACTACTTATAAAACTCACTTTCCTGTTTGTCTCCCTACCATGAAGATCCTCTGATGTCTAATATTTGCACTCAGCCAACAACTTTTCTTCCAGCAGAGCACTAACCTGAGAATTTCCTCCATGCAGATTCTTGTCCACACACAACTTCTCAGCACTTACCTCTGCCATCTCTACCCTCTTGTCAAATTTGATGGACTTTTCAATGTGTTGACCATTTTCATTCAGAGGCACTGACAGTGTGATGCTTATGCAATGGGAAATTGAGCTCAGAAACATACAGGTGTGGCAGGAGTTCCCCATAAACATTTGTTCATGAGGCAATTCCGACTTAAAAACATGGAGAGTATCTTCACTTTAAGAGACAGAAATACAGAGACCTAACCCTACAGCACCAGCGAAGAGATTTTTCCCCAAGGAAAACAAAGCACATTTCCTCCTTAAGCTTGTAAGTAAAATAATTAAAATTAATTAAAATTTAAAAAACAACACATCCCACAAAGACAAAGATATAAAACTGTAACACCATGCTATCAAGTACAAAGGAAAGAAGCTTCTGGCCTCCGAGCTTCCTGGCACTTTCACAGATGCCTGGAATCACATATAAAAGCTCAGTAACAACCAACTTCCACCAACACACACGTATTTACCTAAAGCAGCCCAACATTCCCAGACCCCTCTAATCAGCAGATACCCACTGAGGACACCTCTGTAATCAGGTTATTCCCTGTCTCTGCTGGCAGCAGGCTGGCCGTTCATCCAAGGGTACAGCACTGAGTCACAGCCCTCGGCAGCCAACACTGACTCAGGCCCACACTCCCTGCTGGCACAGGAGGCTCAAGGTAAACCAAAGCGCAGCTTTTGTGAAGGCAATGAATTCTCTTTGCACGGGGACAGACAAACGCCATGGCTGACCCAGAGGCACAGGATGTAAAAAGATTCCAATTCCCTTTGCAACCAGATATCCTTGAGAGGACGGCTGTCTGGAGCATCGCTCCAAGACAAGCTCGACTCCCAAAGTAATATCAGTTACGTAGGTTCCTTCTTTTTTTTTTTTTAATTATTATTATTTTTAAATGCGCAGATGTGCTGCTGTTTTGGTCAGCTACAGACCTCTATACTCACAGCTGGCTCCTGCCAGCTTCCAGAGCCTGCTGATGACCTCTTCAAGGATTCAACTTGTGAAAACAAATATTTCTCATACCTACCATACAAAAAACATTCACTAAAAGGACTGAAAAAATGCACTCTGTTGTTAAATGGTAGGAAAGAGCAAAAAACAGCCACAATGTATGCAAATAGGAAAGGAACTGGCTTTAAAGTGTCACTTCATTTGCTTACATAATCAATTTGCAGAGCTTTTTTTTTTTTTTTGGGGGGGGGTGTCACACTACATTTCTACTATAAAGGTATCTCCTTTAAAACCAAGGTACATAAATAACAGCTTCTACTGATAAATACAGTCCAAAACCACAGTTTTAATCTTTGGTACTTAAACTTAAACTGAAATCCATAGCATGGCAGCTGGATTGCTTGAATTTCAAAGGTGCCAAGCACTTATTGGTTTCAGAAGTTGCAGAAACAGCAAGTGCTACATGTCTCTCTTCATCAGCCCATGTCCTCAGACATTCAAGCAGAGATCCTCACCTAACGTGTCAGGGTCTTGTACCCCCTGACCTGATTTCAAATGTAGGAAGCATCACCCTGACAAGCCACGCTCATTGCCAGCACCTGGAGACACTATTTCAGTGTTGCCTAAAATCATCCTGGCACAGAGAAGCTCTAACACACTCATTCAGTGCCTGTGGCTGGAGCAATGCTTTTTACCAGAGGCACACCCACCACTGTCATCCCCAAAACTTCCTCAAGTCACAGATGACACGCCAAAACCACTGATGCCGAGTTGCTTAGAGGGCATGTAGCATTTATGGTGTGTCCCACGGCTCTCCCACACGAGTGTTTGCCATCACCCTGTCTGACAGGAACCCCTCATTACCACACAGGACCTCTGAGCAGGTGACTGCGAACAGATGAAGGCACCAGTGTGGGCTATGCCGAGTGCAGAGATGCTGGAGAGGAGCAGAGCCTGTCCTGGGTGCAGCCCCAAACTGCGACGACCTGTCTGAGCTAGTAAGACCAGGCATTTAGAAGGCTTTACTCACTTAAGTCAAAACACAGTTGGCTTTTAAAAGAGAAAAAAAAGAGTCCTGCTTGTTTATAATAAACAAGATGAAAGTACTCTAGAAGACTTAAGTGCTCGTAGCAAGCAAGAGGCCTTCCACTTGAAGGCTTACGGCACTGTACTTCCATTCCCAAACCACATACAACCCACAAAAGGGCACTAAATTTTCATCAGAGCAGATAAATCTGAATAAGCTAGGTGCAAATATTAAAATGGCCCGGGGTCCGCGAGTGCAGTGTGAGCAAAGCTATGAGACACTTCCTGCTCCAAACACTAAGCACCATGTCGCTATGGTACCTTCTCAGAAAACAAGTCTTCATAAAACAAATTTTCCTCCTGCTGAAAAAGCTGGGATGCTTTCCCTTGAGCTGAAGAGCCAGTGGTTTCACACACAAGCCACACCATTGAAGCCTCAGCCAGCACACTGGCTGCTGAAAAGAAACTTTACAAAGCATGTGTGCATGAGGGTTAGGGGCACAGCTCATCTGTTATGCCCTGATAAACCATATGGCAAAACATGAGAAATTCATCACACAATCCTTCTTCTTAATTACTGAAAGGAAGAATTGCACATTCATGCAGCTGTGCCTCAGCAAACTGGGGGAAGGCGTCCCGAGAGGCCGTCCTTGGGAAGCTGAGTGCTGTGACAAAGAGTGCGGGGAGAGCACACCAGTGCAAGCAGCATGAGCACAATCACGCCTGAGCTGCTCTCCCTTCATCACACAAAAACCCTGGACTTACCAGCAGAGACAAATGCCAGCGGATGGAGCTCTGCACTGAATTAACTGAGGACAGCACCTCAAAGCAAAAGTGATGCACAGTCACCTGTCAAACCTAACTGCTGGCCACATTTCTGTGACTGTGGCAGCATACAGAGCATGAATTTTGTGAAAGACAGGGCTGTTTGACCTTGGGCTACCAGAGGAGTGGTGGGAAGCTTTCTGTCCTGCTGCGCCAGCCCCGAACAGCGAGGGTTACTGAGCTTCTCCTCTGATCATTGCACAACTACACGCCATAAGGGCCAAGAACCACATTATTTGCTGCAGAAAAAAAAAAAAGTTAAACAGACAGAGGATTTGGCAAAACCCCCAAAAGCATCTATCTTGGACATCCTAAAAGTAACAACAGTCATTCAAGACATGACTGTTTATACTACAAGACTCATTACACAGGAGGCCTGCCTATTTTTAGAGGTAGATAGCACTACAATTGAGTGCTAGATAAAACCAAACAATTATTTTAAAAGGGTGTTTCATCACTAATTATTCTAAACATCTTCTGTGCTCTGTAGGTTGGCCTACTGCCACTCTCCAGTATAACAGCTCAGAGAACAACGCTACGGCCTCACTTGTGTGACGCTCGAATGGTGGTGACAGGTAACTTGCACAGCAAGCAGCATGTCCATAAGAGTCCAGCAGCTGGGGCGAGCTCATCACTGCTTGTGCATGCCAAAGAAAAAAAAAAACAACAATCTTTTGTTATGCTACAAAACCCAGGAAGTTTTAAGTTACCAACGGAAAAGATTCCCCAAGGAATAAACGTGCAACAAACAGTGGCGAGCACCCTTGAGTAGCAGCACCGCATTCAGAGCCCCGGGACTCAAATCTGCTACAGCTCAGCATAAAAAGATCAACTGTGGTTTGCTGCTGCTTGGAAGAACCTACTGGAGATGGCCAAAAAAATTAAAAAGAGGTTAGGCTCCTGCACGCAGATGCATCTGCCCAAAGAACGAAATAAAAGCCCAGGCCAAGCATGTTTCTAAGGACCAGCCTGGCAGTTGTCAGCCACACCGCTTATCGATCTGTTTTGTGGTTTCACCAGACTGAGCCCAGAGTCCCGACGGCTTCGCAGGCTCCTCTTCAGCCAAGTGCCACTAGCACTCCCTTACCCTGAGTTTTGAGGGGTCCATCCAGGGTGAAGACTGGGGCAGAAAGCACAGCTGGATCAGGCCAGCAGCTGCCCCTCAGCCACAGGCCAGCCAGGCACCCTTTGGGGGGAACTCGACATGCCTCAATTTTTAAAAACGCGCATGAATGTTTTTTAAGCAAACCAGACTTTTTGCACAGTAACGGCTATTGCAACCACGGTCTTATTCCCAAATCCAGGAGGAACCAGAAAACCCAAACCCATCAGTGGCCAAAGCAACAGATTGCACGCTAAGAAAGAAAAAAGGGGCTGACGGGGTACCTTACCCAGCCAGGGCAGAGAGACACTGCGAGGGGAACCCGCATTTTACGCCCGAGCTGCTCTCGCAAGGACGTGCCCGCCTTCCCCGCTGCAGAAGGC